TTCTCATTTCACAACTTGTCAATGAACAGTTTTCGCCGACGATTCTCGAAGAGACAGGTTTCTTTTTGTTTATTCATTTCTTGCTTTGTCATAATTTATCTGCAAGTATGCGTAGAACTTCTTGTTTTGGTCGGTTTGATGATACTTTCTAACAATCATGCCTGCATACTATCCATTTCCTCTTTATGTTAGTACGCTATTTTCAAAACAATTTTAAACTTCGAATAAAGACCCATTAGAAAGAGATCTACTACTTCACTAATGAGCATATATGACTTTTGAATTATCAAATAACTAACTAATTTGAGCATAGTTCAATAGATTAAAATATAGACTAAGAATTAAGAGGTCTAAGTCTTCTATCCCACTTATTATTGAACTCGACGTAGAAAGATATAGACTAAGAATTAAGAGGTCCAAGTCTTCTATCCCACTTATTATTGAACTCGACGTAGAAAGATAGTAGACTAAGAAGTAAGAGGTCCAAGTTTTCTATTCCACTTATTATTGAACTCGAGGTAGAAACAAAGAAATCCTATCAAAGAACATCTAAACCAGTTTGTACTTTTTGTTTAGTGAGAGTTGAGAGTGAATGGAAGAGGTGGAAAACAGATTCATTAATACAGATATTTATGTTTGTTGATTCAGATGCAGAAGTGTCCTACATGAAGATGTAGCCCTCCATCCTTTAATGGAAGGACTTGGGAGGATGGCCTTCATCCTCTCTTTTTTCTTTTTTTCTTTTTTCTTTTTTTGTTCATGTGAGTTTGTGAGTAAAGGAAAGAAAAATCACTGTGAATTTGAATCGACCATACTATTTAGTACATAACTGTATTTTTCTTTTTTTCTTACATTTTTTGTTTTAATAATTTAGATGTTATGGTAATGAGTAAGGTGGAAGGGGTGGAGGAGGAGTGTCTTGTTCTGAATATATTCCCCCATTCAATAATAAATTCAAAGCAGCAATTTGTGCAATACAATAAAAGCAGTATTTTTCCTCTCTTCTGTTCTCATTTCTTCAATGTTTTATCATCATTTCTCCCTTATATAATCATGACCTTAATCTGCATGTTTCTTTTTTAAACTTTATTGTTTGTCATTTAGACCAATGGTTTAAAAATCTACCTGTATCATGTCATAGTAGTAGTACTGTTAAATGTTTGTTCATCGAAATTAGTTTTGGTATGGCAAGTTGGTCCGATATCAATTTGATTTGATGTTGAAATCCCCCATGCGTGCTTAGACATTATCATTTTCAACTTTAAAAAAAAAAAAAAAAATCCTAATTTGATGTTGACGGTGTGACTCATCTATTGTGATTCTGTCCATGTCCGCCTTGAAACATAAACTCTCATGTTTTGTTTTGGGCTTTCTTGAAATTACATTAAAGAAAAATGGAAAAGAAAAGGTTTTTTTTGCCCTCGAATTTTTTTTAATATTATATATTTTACCGTGTCAAATTATTCCTAATATAATGTTTTTATTAAAGTTATAAAATAAAATTTATGATACTTCCATAGTTTGAAAATCTACAAACATTATTGTAATGTTTCTCTAGCTTTCGTCGTTACCTAGGTTTTAATGCTAATTTATATATTTCATATAAACATATAAAACTCATAATAAAATTTGAGGCCTTTTAATAATCTTCACATTCGAGATCCTTAGAACTCGGGGAGCACAGTTAGATGGGAACATCGTATGGAACATATCTTGTTCAAGTAAAGTCGTTGGGTAATCTAAAGTCGTCCTTTCTTCACCCGTAGAAAGCTTTAAAAGGAGGATATTCTAAGTCAAGCACAAACAAATCTCGAAGGATCATGAAGTTGGATCAAGAAAGAAGGCCGAAAAACAAGCAGTAAAGCTCACGTTGTCCACCAGGCATTACAAAGAAGGCAGGATTGATGTAGTTATTGGTAAAGATGAGTACATTTGTAACAAGCTTACAAATTAGAACCAGTCATTTCCAGAAGATAAAAATAAAAGGATAGTCCTTTTCTAAACTCATAAAAACAAACCAATCAACCATTGTATTTCAACAAAGTTGCACTTCATTTTTATTTTAGATGGCAGCAGCAGTGCGAGTGTTGTTGCTTCAACTGCAAATCAGAGCCTAAAAACGTCCCTCGCTCTTGTTTCTCCACCACTCCATAAACTTAACTTGTGCTCCCATGGTGTCCACCCTGTAGAGTTGATACCAATGATTCGCAATCTCATGGCCGAAAGTCCAACCGAATGCACCTCCCGCAAGGAACGACAGCCCAGCACCTGTCAAACACAGAGCTACAGGGTAAGCAACCAAATGTTTACGACCCTTTTACACGTCGCTCGTGGTCAACATTTTAACACGCTAGATACACTTATTGTGTCTTGTGGCTTGCTTTGAAGCAGATTTAAACATAGAGAAATGATTCCCAAGGTCTTGACATATAAACCCAGCTCCTCAACTCTTTTAGAAATGGGACTCTCAAGACTTTGAACCTTGAGGACTTCACTATTCTACCAAAAGACATCACGTTTCAACTTGAGACTCCTAAACTACTCTAAAATATCACCTCATAAATACAAAAAATAGGAATTATTTTAAGCCAGTATTCATTCATCTCAATCAAAGTCATGACTTCATCAAGCTGTGGACATAATTAAGTATCGTTCAAGGTTCTAGCTGATGATAAAATGTTCTTAATTGGTTGAGGAATATATTGGACTTGCATGAAAATGGAAATTAAGAAATGAGTACTGATGAGAGATAAATGATAGTTTGAATGCTACTGCTATTCATTGATTAATATGAAGCAGTTAAGTGGAGAGACAAGGTTGAATACCATGCAAACTTCTAGAGTATTTCCAGGCAACGCCTGCAGTTGACACAGCTCCAATAAGGCTTCCTGTAAGACCAAAGTTTACAGCTTCTCTGGCAGTCTTCAACTGAAAAAGAAAACGAGCAGCTTGTAAACGAGGAATCCAAAGGGCATGTATAGGAGCTCCTAGTAAAGCTCTTAGTAAAATGTAAAACATAATGTCAACCATGCTTAACCCGGTAGTCTCAAAGTAGATATGCTGCCTAAGTAATTATTGGAATTTCATAAGGAAGAACGTGTAGGAATACGCTAGCGAAAAACGACGTAGAGCATGCACCCAGACCAAGTAGTTCACCTTAAGAAGGCAAGGGAGATTACATAATGAATCCATGATCTAACTAGAGAGCATTATAGGCATACATATTAGTCCAGATGAAACCAAAAAATAAACAGGAAATTACTTTTGCATATAAAAATCAAACAAAAACCAGGGAAATAGGTGCGCTAAAAGGTTCCATTAATCAGAATGATGACAACCATCTACCAATACAGTTCACAAATACTTTACTAAAAAGCAATTGATTCCAACCCCGGTGAAACAAGATTGCAATATATCATGATAGAACAATGAATCTAAACAAACCAAGAAAAAGGGTTAAATGAAACAAATCAATTTGATTGTACTGATAATAATCAAATTACAATGACGGGAAAGAAAAGAAAAGGCAAAGTATTATTTCACTTATTATGATCAAAACGATTTCAAAAGACAGTAATTAAGTAGTCCTGTAATGGGCAGCACTTAGTGATAAACTGCTGATCATGAAAAGCATGTTAAAAGGAAATATTTGGTCCAGTTCCCTACTAATAATCACACTATACACTGCACCAGAAGATTGAAAAGTATAACAATCTTCAAATCAATACTGCACAACAAGGGTAGGGAGACAAGGAATGCAAGATCATAACCATTTTGCATCAACAATCATTGGGCTAAGAAATTATAGATTATCCCAAACTCAAAGTAAAAACAATCATCTCCATTGACCTCCAGCTGTTTTACCTTATCAAGGAGAAAGAGTGAACGACCGCATTTAATTTAAGATACACCAATGAACAATTAATAAATCTGGAAGTAAAAGAAAGGGAAAGTGGAAGATGATTTACAACGGGGCCATGAACGGGATCGGAAGCAATAAACTCCTCGACATCGGAGTCAGACCAGGAAGGAAGGGGCTTCTCGCGCTGGACGAAAGGGGAATAGTTGTCGAGGATCGAGAATCTCTCGGACCAAAACTCCTTGTAGCCCTCCCAGTGCTTCCTGAAGAAGGATTGAGAGGAAGAATCTTCCATAATTGTTGCGGCGATTTGAGAATACAGAAACTAATCCGATTGAAAGCAGAAGAACCCCCCGATGGCCGATGGCTGTTCTCTTCAAGCTCTGCAATCTCGTTCTTGAAAGCTCCTTTTGTTTTGTTTCGTTTTTTGTTTCTGTCACGAGAAATAATGAAGGCCGAGGCTGCTGGACTTCTCTACAATTGGGCCCAGCTAAGGCCCAATACTAAAGCCCATTTTTCATTTTGGCCCAAACGATATTTCTTAAACTAATTTTAAAAATCCCGTCAAATATAGAGATGTCCATTTAATTCGAGTTAGTTCTCTCGAATCTTTTCTTTTGTAAAAAGGGTAATAGTGACATTTCATCCAAACCAGTGCTGACCACACCATGAGAGACGAAAGTGCAGGTAATGCTAGTTGGCGAAGTTGCATTAAGCATCCCTAGCGGTACGAAAAGAGAGGTCATGATGGTATCATCCAAGTCTATACTACTCCTCATGGAGTAGATCTTGCATCCAACCAAGTCTTTGACCAGGGAACGGGAGAATTCCCACTACTACTGGCTAATGTTGTCTCAGAACTCTTCTGTCCTTTCCTTAAAAAACCAAAATCCTAGCATGTCTCACTAGATGAGACAATAATTATCCAAAAGCTCAGTGCTACAACCTACGCTCGAGAGGATCTTAAAAGTGTTCGGCGTAATAACATTAGCCTATGCAAATCATGGTTGTTTGATATTGCCAAGTGTCATTCAATCATAGGCCAGTTATAGCCACATACAATGGTGTGTATGAGAAGAATGACAAATATTTGTAATTTTTAAGGAATGGAATAATTAGGAATCCACTGTCATTAACAATGTCCGCTGCCTATGAAGAAGATTGTGCATCACTTTGGTGAATCATAGCACTTGGTTAGACACCTTTGAGCTCAGCGTTCTGGAAACTGGAGGCGACGATCGAAATTTGGATCGAGCAGTCGCCTTTCTTGGCTACAAGCTGACCTTCTCCAATGCTCGGAGCTGAAGTTTGACGGGATAGTCACGAACGCACCCGATTCGGGGGCCTGCACCAGTTGTCCATTTGCAGGATAGCTGCTTTCCCAGTTGATATGATTTTGTTTCTTTGTGTGAGTTTATTCTTTTCAGTATTGATTCATCAGGGATGATCTCTACCTTACAACTTCCGGTCAACAATGGTTCTTGCTCTGGCGAATCGGGTTTATCGATGCTCATTTCTTCAGCAACAATGGCCACAGTTCCATCATCCAGACCAGCACTCGACTCCTTGGATGAACTGCTCGTTCGCGTTTGTTCTACATTGTCTTTCTCATCATCTGGGCTCATCTGAATTTAATTAAAACAAAGATGTTAAGCTATGTTCCAGTTTCACTAGAAAAGAAGATTTGAGTTCTCACCTTTACGTGTGTGAGATCGACATTGTTTTCTGCAAGGAAGGAGACAAATTCCTGAAAGTTTTCCTCTGTGGGACGGTAATGACCACTATGAGGCCAAACTGCCTGATACGAAGACGAGAAACTATCGTTAAATGAACACTCGAGGATAAAGACAAGCAGTTTATGTAACAGTTCAAGTCTACCGTTAGTGGATATTGTCCTCTTTGAGCTTTCACTTTCAAACTTCCCCGGAAGGTTTTTAAAATGCATCTGCTAGAGAGAGGTTTCCCCATAAAGAATGTTTCATTCCCCTCTCCAACCAATGTGAGATCTTACAATCCACCTACTTCATGGCCTAACGTCCTCACAAGCACTCGTTCCTCTCTCCAATAAGGGGTCAACGTCCTCGCTGGCACTCGTTCCTCTCTCCAACCAATGTGGAACCTCTACTTCAAGGCCTAGCGTCCTCGCTGGCATACTGCCCGATGTCCGACTCTGATACCATTTGTAACAGTCCAAGCCCACCATTAGTAGATATTGTTCTTTTTGGGCTTTCCCTTTTGGCCTTACCCTCAAGGTTTTTCAAACATGTCTACTAAGGAGAGGTTTCCATACTCTTATAAAGAATGTTTCATTTCTCTCTCCAACCGATGTGGGATCTCACAATCCACTCCCATTCGAGGCCTAGCGTCCTCGCTGGCACTCAGTTTCTCTCTCCAATAAGGGGCCAAACATCCTCACTAGCACTTGTTCCTCTCTCCAATTGATGTGGGAACTCACAGTCCACCCCCCTTCAAGACCCAACGTCCTCGCTGGCACACCGCCCGGCGTGACTCTGATACCATTTGTAACAGCCCAAACCCACCGAGCAAATATTGTTCTTTTTGGGCTTTCCCTTGAGAATTTTTAAAACGTGTTTGCTAGGGAGAGGTTTCCACACCCTTATAAAGAATGTCTTGTTTCCCTCTCCAACTGATGAGGGATCTCAGTTCAGATAGTAAGAACTCCAAAGAAAAGAGAAGAAAGAAACTTGTACCTGTAGGATGCCATTTTCGATAACCAATCTCCCAGCAGCCAACGTGGCTCCTCCAGCCAAGAAACTCGAATGATGAAACGTGCCCTTCATCTTCTTTCCAACATACAAGACTTTCGAGGTACTGAGAACAAATATCCACTTCTCGTGCTTATCGACTCTAGTCGTGTGAACAAGTTCCCCAGATCGCTTGTAAACGAACTTCCCATCCTTCACAACAACTTCATAGGCTGTTCTTTCCAACTGAAAGAAGAACATGTGGATGATTCATGATTCCATATATAATACAGATTATGCAGATAAAGAATGAATGAGAGGCTCACTGGGCCCAAATACTTGATACACTGTTGCTGAAGTTTCACTCTGGGGCACTCTTCAACAAGATCTAATTCCTTCCCTTCTCCTATATCCAACCTAAAAAGCATATGCGCTTTAGTTTGTGTAATGTTTCGACATCTAACACGTCTAACACTCTAGCACCTCCGGACACGTGTTGGATACTTGCTATAGTTCAATATAATATGTACGCTAATTTTACAAAGGCAATACGAGTATGCATGTCGTATGCTTGTTAAGTATGATAAGTACTAAATTCGTAGTGCGAAAAATACATCAAAATCATCATTAAAGCACGTCAACTTTATACTTTCTTCGAGGATCAATTATATATGTTTTTAAAAGGAAGTAGATTTAAGTAAAAGTGTTGTGTTTTAGGTTTTCACAAAACAACGTGGCACTATATACATGTTTTGTTTATCTCGTTTTCGTATTCATACTTCTTAGTGTAACAGCCTAAGCCTACCGCTAACAGATATTGTCCTTTTTGGGCTTTCCCTTTTGGGCTTCCCCTCAAGATTTTAAAATGCGTCTCCTAGGGAGAGGTTTCCACACCCTTGTAAAGAATGCTTCGTTCCCCTCTTCAACCAACGTGGGATCTCCCAATCGATTTAAGAGAGGACGAGTGTCAGCCAGGAAGCTGGGTCCCGAAGGGGGGTGGATTGTGAGATCCCACATCGGATGGAGAGGGGAACGAAACATTCTTTATAAGGGTGTGGAAACCTCTCCCTAGCAGGCGAGTTTTAAGACTTTGAGGGGAAGCCCGGAAGGGAAAACCCAAAGAGGACAATATCTACTAATGGTGGGCTGGGGCCGTTACAAATGCACCGTCGGAACCTGGCTCTGATACCATTTGTAACAATCCAAGCCCACCGCTTGTAGATATTGTCTTTTTTGGGCTTTCCCTTCCAAGCTTCTCCTCAAGGTTTTAAAACGCATCTGCTAAGAAGAGGTTTCCACACCCTTATAAAGAGTGCTTCGTTCCCCTCTCCAACCGAGGTGGGATCTCACACTTAGTATCCAGCCTATTATACTCTAAATCTTTAGTTTCCACAAACCCTGAATTCTAGTGTTGAAGCTTTAAATTTTGATGAAGGAATATTTACCAATAAAAAAAGGGTTGTTGGCTCTGACAATGAAGCCATTTTTCATAATACAGCTGCAAGTTCTGGCCATATCGATGTCGTGGATCGATCTGAAAAAAAGAAAAGGAAAATCTAATTAGTAACAGCGCGTTCATAATCGAAAACAAGGACGACTATGTAACAATTTAGTTCTCGAGACCAATAGACATAACAGCCTCAAGCCAGTGCTGTAGAGCAAGCATTTGAGCTTTTTCATTTTTGGACAAACCCTTTCCAACCTGTAATGATGTTTTAAAACATATGATTAGATCCTTAAAAGATGTTTGGTAGGTTCAAAAAACATGGTGAAATTTACCCTGGCAGCTCTGGTTCTAGCTCGGGACCATCGCGAAACAGCAGTTTTATGTTTCTCAATGTCAAAAAACGACACGGAACTCCTCCTGAGCTCAGCAAAATTCAAGAGTGTCCACCTGAAACAAAGACAACCTTTGTGAACAAACTCATAGTGTTTCCATTTTGATTATGAACAAAGACATGAGCCCATACACATACCAACTCTTCTCTGCAAGAACTGCACAATCAGCCAGCCTTCTCCTGGTTCTGAAGCTTTTATAAACTCTCTGCAATTGCGTTGCAGCCATATGCTCCCGGTTCGTGGGACCAAGGTCCATAATCATTTGGATCCCATCACGACTCTCGGCTCTGGGAGATCGATTCTCCATGCCTTCGCTCTTCGGACTATTCACTACAATATGCAACTCTTCCTCCTCGGTAATCTTCTTCAAATCTTTACCTTTGAAGCTAACAGATGATTCTAATGCTGTCCTCCCCGATTCGACCCCATTTCCGACACCAATGTGTTTGGCCAACGGACACGAAAAGAAAGCCCCCATATTAGCAAAACCGGTTCAGCAAAGCTAAGATGAACACTGTTCCTGCTACAATAAGCAACCCAGAAATGAGAATGAAAAATTGAACACAAAAGAAGTGATAAATCTTCAAGGAACAGACAGAGTCAATCTCTTAACAAACAAGTAGAATTTATGCTTACAAATAGACCAACGCACAATCAATCCCAAGGATACTTTATAAGAAAACAAAGAAGTGCAAGATATAAATGCTAAACTTGAAGTCCAAGGAGAGTTTCCCTTAATTTTCAAGCCCACAACAATGCATTAACAGCAAAAAACAGGCATGTTTTCCATTCGAGGATTGAGACGAAGATTCTCCCATATCAGTCGTGTCGAACAACATATAATATCTCTATGTAACTCAAAATTACAAGTTTTTTCATTATACTCATCAACAAAACGCTCTTTCCAAGATTCCTCCTCTTCTTCGTCGCTCTTCCCCTTTCATTTTTTTTCATCGATTCCGTTGCAGATCTATCATTATCACTCTACGTGTGCCAAGGAGATATCCATTTAACTCATGGGATTCACCACGAATACAGCGAAGAATGGGAGAGAGAGCAGAAGAGATTTCTCCCCGTTAGCTAAACAGGGTGAAAGATGTTTTTTATTTTTTGTTCTTTTGAGACTCAACAAAACTCAAGATGTCGTTAGGCAAACAAGTTAAACCGGATCATCAGATGCATCCCCACACTTTGTCCCTCTTGTCAAGGGACCCTAGACACTTCCCTTGCACAGTCCCCGTCTGTTGAGGATTATTGGGAGTGAGTCCCACATTGGTTAATTTAGTGGAAGATCATGGGTTTATAAGTGAGGAATACTATCTCTATTGGTATGAGGCCTTTTGGGAAAGCCCAAAGCAAAACCATGAGAGCTTATGCTCAAAGTGAACAATATCATACCATTGTGGAGAGTCGTGATTCCTAACATGGTATCAGAGTCATGCCCTAAACTTAACTATGTCAATAGAATCCTCAAATATCGAACAAAGAATTGTGAGCCTCGAAGGTGTAGTCAAAAGTGACTAAAGAGTCGAATTAAGGGGAGGCAATTCGAGAGCTCCATAAGCCTCAGGGGAGGCTTATAGTGTACTTTGTTCGAGGGGAGGATTGATGAGGATTAATGGGAATGAGTCCCACATTGGTTAATTTAGTGGAAGATCATGGATTTACAAGTGAGGAATACTATCTCCTTTTGGAAAAGCCCAAAGCAAAACCATGAGAACTTATGCTCAAAGTGAACAATATCATAACATTGTGGAGAGTCGTGATTCCTAACACCGTCTCCACCCTGCCCTAGTATTGGTCTCATAAAAGGTTTCTATACGTATCATCTATACACAATTTAGGCCTTAAGGGAAAAGAGGAACTCAAAATTGTAATATCATTCAAGAGAAACAATACATATTGTGAAATCAGTGGCCAGTTATAGCCCTATGCATGTGTGTATCTATCTACTTCTATGTATAATTTCATGTTTCTTCTCATTTCTCACAAGTAAAATTGATCATAGTACAAAGATTTATCTGTACACTTAAAGAAAGGAATGAATAACAAATATTTGTATCATATTTTCTTCCATCCACAAACAATGAATGAATAGAATAATCAGGAATCAATAGTCATTACCAAGTTTGCTGCTGCTGATGTTCCCTTGAACAAAGGGGAAGAAGTTTGTGTATTGCTCCGGTGAATCATATCGATGGGCCTAGACACCCTCGGGCTGAGCATACTGACAACCTTCGGCGAGCAATGAAATTCAGACTGCACAGCCGTCTTTCTTGGCGACAAGCTGACCTGCTCCAATGCTCGGATCTGAAGTTCGACTGGATAGTCACGAACACACCCAATTCGGGGGCCTGCACCAGTTGTCCATTTGCAAGATAACTGCCTGCCCAGTTGATATGATTTTGTTTCTTTGTGTGAGTTTATTCTATTCAGTATTGAATCGTCCGGGATGATCTCTATCTCATAACTCTCACTTTCCTCTTGTAACAAGTTTTTCGTTGGAGCTTCGGTATCTAGCTCTGATCTCGTTTCTTGGTTTTCCATCTCGAGTTTCTCGATCAGGTTAACCCTATCTGGTATGTGAAGATTGGTTAACTTTGTACTCAGATTGATTGACCTCTTGGGTTCAAATAGTTTGGTAGTTCCCCATGTTTCTTTCTCTGGCAAATCTGATTTATTGCCAGTCATTTCTTCAGCCATGATCTCTGCTATGCCATCATCAGGACCATGACTCAACTGTTGAACCCAATCCTCCTCGGTCGAGCCGAGTCGAACATGAAGACTGCTCTTTTGCATTTGTAGTCCATTGTCTTCCTCGTCATCTGGACTCATCTGAATTGAACAAAAAGAAAAACATGTCAACCTATGTTCTCATTTCATAACATCTTAGATCCATGCTTTCAATTTCTCACCTTTACATCAGTGAGGTCGACATTGTTTTCTGTAAGGAAGGAGATAAGTTCCTGAAAATTTTCTTCCGTGGGACGATAATGACCGCTATGAGGCCAAACTGCCTGTTAAAAAGGACGATGAATCGTTGTTAAATCGTAAGAACTCGAGAATATAAAGAAGAACGAAACTTCTAAAAGCTCTCTGTCTTTACCTTTAGAGTCCCATTTTCGACAACCAATCTTCCAGCAGCCGATGTGGCTCCTCCAGCTAAGAAACTCGAATGCTGAAACGTACCCTTCTGTTTCTTGCCAACATACAAAGCTTTAGAAGTGCTGAGAACAAATATCCACTTCACGTGCTTATCGACTCCGGTCGTGTGAAGGAGTTCCCTGGATACCTTGTACATGAACTTCCCATCCTCCACGACAACTTCATAAGCTATTCTTTCCAGCTGAAAGAACACATGAATGATTCAATATTTCATATATAACACAAACGATGCGAACAAAGAACGAAGCGATACAAGTTTTAGAGGCTCACCGGACCCAAGTACTTGATACACTGCTGTTGAAGTTTCACCCTGGGGCATTGTTCAACAAGATTTACTTCCTTCCCTTCTCCTATATCCAACCTGATTCGAGCACAGCTTTTAGAAATCGAAAACCAGAACTTTAGTATTGATGCTTCGAAATTTTGGTCAAAGTATACCTACCAATAGAAAAAGGGTTGTCCACTCTGACAATGAAGCCACTTAACATAATAGAACTGTAGGTTGTGACCGTATCGATGTCGTGGATCGATCTGGCAAAAGAAAAAGAAAAATAAAGTTAGTGATACCGAGTTGGTGACCAAAAATAGGAACTGAGTAACACTTTATTTATCAAATTCAATAGACTTACCGCCTCGAGCCAGTGCTGTAAAGCAAGCTTTTGACCTTTTTCATTTTTGGACAGACCCTTTCCAACCTGTAATGATGTTTGAAAACATATGGTCAAAAACTTTTCTGGTGTAGGTAAGTTCATGACAAGAGCTGGTAAAAACATGTAAAAATTTACCTTGGCAGCTCTGGTTCTTGCTCGAGCCCACCGTGAAAGCGCAGTTTCGTGTTTCTCAATACCGAAAAACGATATGGAGCTCCTCTTGAGCTCAGCAAAATCCAAGAGTTTCCACCTGCAACAAAGATCGCCATTATATACAAGCATAAAATAGATCCATCTTAGAGCAAAGACACAAGCAAGAACATACCAACTCTGCTCTACAAGAACTGCACAATCAGCCAGCTTTCTCCTCGTTCGGAAGCTTTTATAAACTTTCTGCAATTTCATAGCTGCTATGTGCTTTGGGTTGGTTGGATCGAGACATGTCGTTTTGATCCCATCACGAGTCTCCGATCTAGGTGTTTGATTCTCTATCTCTTTACTTTTGGGACTATCAGCTACAACGTGCAATTCTTCATCCTTTCGAGTAGCTGCAGCTTCCATTGAATCCATCTTCTCCAACTCTCCACCTTTGAAGCTAACAGATGTTTCTAATGCCATCCTCCCCGACCCGACCGATCTCATTATTTTACTCTCCAAATCTCTGCTATTGAAACTGACGGATCGCACCAAAGTTCTCACTTCATCATCTCCAAAACTTATGGATTTTACAATAGATTTTATCCAATTTTCTACATCATAGTACTGAGCCAAATGACAGGAAAAGAAAGCCCCCATTTCTGCAAAAAAATTAGCTCAGCAACACCAAGATAACGAACAGTATTCCTGTAACAACAAGAAACCACCCAGAAATGAGAATGAAAAATCCAACAAAACAGAAAAAAATGGACAAAATCAACCCCTTAACACATAAACTGAATTTAAGATTAAAAAAAGACACACATAATCAAACCACAAACATGTTTTAAAAGAAAACAAAGAAGTAAAACATACAAATGCTTCATGTTCAAGCCCAACAACAAGCCTGTTCTCCATTAAAACAAGAACAGCAGCAAACAAACAAGCCTGTTCTAGAATCATAGATCTGTGTTACAGTTCAGGAACAGGATTCTAAAAGAACCAAACAACCTCAACCTTTAAAACTAAGTAACCAACAATGATTCAGGGGAAAAAAACAAAGAGAAAACGAGCATTACAAACAGACCCATCTACAAAAACTAGCAGAACACTCCAATGGAAGCAAATATCAATGAAGCAAAGAACTGGGAAGAGCTCATTTGATCAGAAAACACACAAAAATAGCAAAACAACAGGTGGGTACTGTAAGAAAAGCTTGTAATGGCGGATTTATACCTTAAATCGGAGGGAAGTTTTGAGGTGGGGATTTTGATTCGTGAAGAATGTGAAAGAATGAGTAAGGTGTCAGGGAGCAATGTTGAGAGGAATCGAAAAGGGTGATGAGTTTGGATTTATAAAGGAATCGAAGAGAAAAGCGGAAGAGGGAGTGAAAGAGACTTTCCCACCAGGGCAGAGAGGACGGCTGGTACGCGACTTTCCAACCAAAACCATATTTTAAATGCTCTAATTTTTGGAATAAAGTCCATTAGTATCTTGGTTCCCCCTCTTGAATATTTTTCTTTAATTCTCCGTCCCGACAATTCAAGCTTACTACTAGTAGATATTATCCATTTTTATCTGTGACATATTGCTGTCCGTCTTACGATTTTAAAACGCGTCTGCTAGGGAGTGGTTTCCACACCCTTACAACGAA